CAATATCGATATGAGTATCGTTGCACCCCTAATATATATGTATATGTATATATATATATATATATATGTATGTGTGTGTGTGTGTGTGTGTGTGTGTGTTTAGTTTGTGTGCGCGTACGGTAAACATATGCGCATGATGATTGCACGTGTGCATTAAGTACAATTTATAATTAAATGTAGTCTTTGAACTTCCATAATGTCAAGGCCTTCACCTTTAACCCGATGCAATAAAGTGGAATCAAGGAGCCCCTTTAGCCCGGAAATGTGTGCAGCGGCGGAATGGGCCAATAAGAGTGAGTGGGAACAGAAAATGGAATGTGTACAGAGAACAACTTTGACCCCTCGCATTAAACTACAGCAGGTAACTTTACCAGCTTTAGCACGTCCAGTAAATACACTTTATTGTCCTTGTAAAATGTATACGTTTTCACGCATGAGGCGTTTTAAAACATTTTGGTGTAAACTGTAGATCTGGATTTGTATTCTCTAAGAAAAGAAAACGTGCTGGTGTGTGGCTGTCCCAGTGTATTTGTCGTAATGGGAGGTTCTGTAAGTGCAAACATGACGGTTTGTGAGTGCGTGGGTGTGTGGTCCTTGTGAGTCAGTCTACCCTTCTTGACTTAACAAAAGACTGCACGGGCTGTTCTGATCAACAGAAATATTACCGCACCGTTTGCACGTTGTTGTGTTTCCTCCCATTGGTGTGATTTTGGTTATTTTCGGAAATAAGGTTTTTCTTCAAGTTAAACGGTTTGAAGTGGGAAAAGGGGGTGGGGGGAGTAAAAGGGATGACCGGCGCTTTTTTGTGCATCTCTTTAGAAGGTCATGTATTTTATCTGCATGAAGTGAAATCAGACTTAATCTGCCCGTCTTAGTATATCATCAGGGATGACAGGGGGCTGTTCTGACTCAAGAAAGACGAAGCACGCTAGCCGACCAGATCAAGGCTATACCAGCCCCTCGTCGCCACACCCACCAACCTTGGCCCTGGGACAGTGACGTGGTAATTTGTAGGTTTCTCCAACACCCAACGTCACTAACAGAGAGTGCTGCAGAGTCTTCTGCAGATGTTGTCTCTCAGCCACACGGGGGCCAGGACTCTCCCGGCCTCTGAGAACTGCTTTGTTTCCTCAACGGGATCTTGAAAACGTTTCCTGATATAGATGCCTCGGTGACATCACTGTAGTATTATTAGGTGTAGTAGTAGCAGACATCAGTTTTGGCGATGTGTGACAAAAGGACCGTCCACTGTGCTGGAATGCGGCTCTCGCCATGCGTCAGTCTGGCTTGTGCACTTGGGTGTTGCGGTGATGAAAAACATGGCGGTTTGTTTCATTTAGAGCAGAGGAAAGAGAATGGAGACGATGTAGCCTGGGTCCATTATTATGCACGAGGAAATTTATTTAATTCGCCTACATAATAAGTAATATTTTTGTGCCAGAAAACTGGTAATAAGATCATGTTTTTATTTATTATGCACAAAAACTAAATTATAAAATAACACCGGAGGGTGTCTTCGTCTTGTGCGTGTGTTTGTGTGTGACTTTTCCCCTCATAAACTTAGAAAAAAGAAAACATTTCACACCAGTAAAAAACTAAAAAGTTAATAAAAAAAAGTTAAATACAGGGAAAAAACGGTTACATTTTCCTTTCTGGTTCATTTTTTTCTTCCATTTTGTTACAAATTTAAGGCAGACATTTGTTTTTGTTTTTTTGTTGTTGCTGTTTTCATCTATAAACTGTTCTGACTTTAAATTTGCTTTATTTTTCTTGTAAGTATACTATTAAGCGGTATTTTGTTACCCGCCTCCTGCAAATTCTAATCAAGTGATTATAGGCTATTGAATGCTTTTATACTACGATGTTGTACTTACATCTCAGCACCTAACCGGTTCTATTGGGCCATAAAACAGTTCGTCGCTGTAAAACGAGCACCTATTGCTGCAACCAACTAGCTTGCAAAGCGCCTTCATTTACATTAGCGCTTTTGTAGGCTGCCATTTATGGATTGTTGTCACCAAAATTAGTTTTGGTAAAACTTATCGAAAGTTTAAATCCCATGCACATGGCATCTGGTGTAAGGTATTCGGTAAAAAGGTAATAATGTAATCCTGCTGTACTTTGATGGTGGTTATCGCTTTGCTATTTAATTAAGCGCTTGCGTGATCCTGGCACCATAAATTTGAAGTTAGCCACGGAGTGGACAACAGCATGAAAGAGCTCACAAAGCACAGCCTGCCTACTTGCAACTGGAAAGATATTTTAAAGTGGCCGCCAGGAGCAAATTAGTTATGTCGCCCCAGTGGCTCCTGATTAGTGCAGGAAACCCACTACCATGTAGGCTGTCTCGCAGCATTCACCACCCATACCTGCTGGCATTATCATAACAACCTCCAGGTTTGCAATAATTTATACGATAAATTATTGCAGTAGTGTTGGTTGCTGGCTGAAATTTAGACAAGTGTAAAGATCATGGTAAAAACAAAACAAAAAACAGTGCCAGTAAAGTGCGTGTGTGTGTTGGGGAAGGGGGGGGGGGGCAGCTTTTTCTTCAAAATGTTTAGCCAGACAACAAAACCGGCTTTAGGCGTCTTGCAAAAAAGAAAAAAGTTGAAAAAAAAGAAAAAGGAAAAAATCCAGAAATTTTCAGGGACCACTTATTGGGAAATAAGATGGTTCTCGCGTTTCCATGGGAGAAATGGATCTGTATAAACAAACAACATTCTGTTATGGAAGCAGAGAAGAATGAATGCCCATTGAAAGTTTTCCTCAGTTTCTTTTTAAGAAAAGCATAAAGGTGGGGATAATAACCCTGCTACATAGCTTTGCTTTAACTACCGCAATCTTTGGGCTCTACAAGTAGTTCACAACAGTTAGCTCCCCTCACTTCTAGCTTATGATAATCACAGTCACGCAAATCTGATTGTTTCAAGTGGAGCTCTTCTGCCATCATGTGCAGGGTGAATGTGCATTCTGCTGTAAGAAAAAAATAAACAACAAAAAAACAATCAAGTCATACGCTCGTGTTTTTCTGTTATTATAGCCTCAAGCACAATTTCCATGACTGGTTTGTGAAATCCCTGCACATTTTCCATGCTGCTGGCAGCTCTGCAACAGCACATTACTGTCCCATCTGTGGCATCCCAGCACACATTTTGGGTACTACCATAACAACAGGCGTTGTGTCATTTTACTTTATCATATGCACTTTTCTGCAATGCCAGGTTTGTGAGGTTTCTTTGCGTCTTTTGTGAAATGCGTCTGTTATTAAATCTAACTAGTGCGCATATAATTTGCTTTTACTCGTGACTGTTTCAGGCTTTGTGCTGAGTCGCTGTTACCCTGCGGGCTAGGTGGGAATGTGTCATAAAGCATTTTTGTGCGTGTTTGTCAGTGGTGTGACTTTGTGAAATGAGCTGACAATATAACGTGTGGGTGTTGTGTCCTTCTATGAAGCAAAAACCTGCTTTTGTCACACAATTTTTAGGTGTGAAAATTGGCTACATTTCTATTCATTCTCTATGTTGTCTATATTGTCTCCTCATTGCCAAACACCAGGGTATTGTTTATGCTGTGGTGTTTGATGAACACGTTCACTACAGTAATGTATCCACACGGCCAAGATTTCGTGTGTTCGGCGCGTGTTTGGAAAAAAACACACACAAAACAACCATCGTTTACTCTGAGTATTTATTTCACCTACATTGACTATGTGTGTGTGTGTGTGTGTGTGTGTGTGTGTGTGTGTGTGTGTGTGTGTGTGTGTGTGTGAAAGCAAAAGGTTTTATATCACCTTGACGCACAACCATTTTATTCACATTACACACCGACACATAACCAAAAGCGCAAAGTGATACAAAATATGTTGCCCTTGCCTTTGGAAATGATTCTGAACTGGAAACACAGCCTCGCGTGCATTTTCTTTCACAGAGTAAACAAGCAGGCTAACCGTCTCCGTGGTTAAAGCATTTTAACAAACATTTTAAAGCGTTTAAACATAGCCTGCTTTAGCAGCCAAGTTTTACAGTTGCTGAAATACAATATATGCTGAGGTCTAACTCGTTCTAGCCAGCTTTTCTATGTTAACGAGGAAAAGTCAACAATTAGCTAAACTACGGTTCAGTTTCAATCCAGTGGGTATAAAATATAACGCTGTTGTTCTTCTGACTTTTAATGTAGGCTTTAAATTACGTGATATGAAAGTTGGACAACAGCCTACATTTATATTTGTTTTACATCCGTTTTATTCTACTTTGTTGAATAAAACGGCATGTTTTTTCCCCATGTTTTTATGCTTTTTACATGATAACTGTTATTATAATTTAGACATGATCTAATTAGCGT